CAGAACCTCGCCGTAGCTCGGCCAGCAAATAGCCAATTGGAGCGACTCAAGTCCAATTTCTCCTCGTCATCCGTCCTCGTCCTCGGCTTCGTCGTCTTCCTCCTTTTGCTCCTCCTCCTCCTCCTGCTTATCCTCCCCTTCCTCATCCCTGCCCATCCTCCTCCTCCTCCTCCTCCTCCTCCTCCTCCTCACCCTCACCCTTGTCCTCCTCCTCCTCCTCCTCTCCTCTCCTCCTCCTCCTCCTCCTTTTCCTCCTCCTCCTCCTCCTCCTCCTCCTCCTCCTCTCCCTCGCCCTCCTCCTCCTCCTCCAATTTCTCCTCCTTTCCTCCTCCTCCTCCTTCTCCTCCTCCTCCTCCTCCTCCTGCCCTTGCTCTTTCCCCTCCTCCGCTTTCTCACTCTGTTCCCCCTCCTTCTGAGTTTTGTATGTTTCGAGGTGGCGCGCACGATCAGGCCAGGTATAGGCGGCGGCAGAGCCAGTACGAGAGAAGCAACAGAAGTGCAGAACGAGGAACGAACGTGGAGGGGAAGAGAGGGGAGGATGGGGCAGGGGAGGGGAGTGGGACAATGGAATGCAGGGCATTGGGTGGAATGGAGGGGAGCATCCCAGGAACATTCGTATCTCAAAAGAGTAGCTGGAGAGCTGCCGCCCAGCCGCCCCTGGTCACGACAACACGCAGCTGAAGCTTTGGCTCCTTCTCGCACGAGCTGATCCCAGCACCGTACATAGCTGATACTAAGAGTGTACGGGTAGCTGACGACGCCGGGTCCCAGCCCTGCCGTAACAGCTTGCCCCTAAGCTTGTGCCTGCCCCTGCTATTCCGCGCGCGAGCTGCCTGCGTCTCACACGCGCTGGTCCCAGCGTGGTAGCTGGTGATGCTGGCCGAGACCGTTTTCTCGCACGAGCTGGTTTCAGCACTGCAGTTGTTGAGATTAAGCTCCCGCGATCGCCTTTCTCGCACTACCAGTCCTTGCTGCCAGTGCTCGCTTTTTCGCCAGAGCCTATCCCTGCATTGTAGCTGATGCTCGTTCCCCACCCGCGCCCTTCTCGCACGAGCTGCTCCCAGCATTGTAGCTGAGATGAGGCTCCCACGGTCACCTTTTTGGTAGCGTCACAGCCGGCTGAATTTTCCTGCCTTCTCGCACGAGTTGGTGCCTGCATTGTAGCTGATGGCCTTCTCCCACGAGACCTTGTTGCACTTAGCGAGCTTGCTGCCACCGCCTCCCTTCTCGCACGAGCTGCTCCTGGCATTGTGGTTGAGGTGCGCCTTCCAGGATCGCCCAGCGTGCGATGCCAGTCCCCACTGCTGATGCCTGCCTGCTCCCGTTGGCAACACCTGCTGCCACTGCCTGCCTTCTCGCACGAACACCTCCCAGCATTTCAGCTGATCTTGAATTTCCGCTGCTCAGTGCCAGCTGCTGCCGCGGCCTGCCTGCGCGCACGAGCTGATCTCTGCACCGAACATGATGGTCCTTTCCCACGCTCGCCATGCTGGCAACAAAAGAGTATGCTGCCACCGCCAACCTTCTCGCAAGAGCTGGTCCTTACCTAATCCTCGCCCGCGGCCCTATTATTGCACTGACAGCGCCGGCTGCCGCTCCCTGCATGCTCTTGCGAACTGCCAGCGCCGCAACTTCTGACGCTTCGCTCGTGCCGTACTGATTGCCATTCTCGCTCACACCCGTCTGGACCAGCTCTTTCTCCAGCTGGTGACGTTTGGGCTTCGCTCTGCCTTCTCGCAGAGGCATCTGCACCCGTCTTTCTATGTGGCCTGAGCGCCTGCAGCTGAGGACTTCCCACCGCCCGCCCTCCCGCACTGGCAGTACCTGCTGCCTCTGCCAGCGTGTTGCACGACTTGCTCCCCGTGCTGCAGCCGCTGCTGCTTGGTGAGCTCCCCACGGGCAAGCGGTGACGGCGCCGATGGCCACGGCCCACCGCCTCGCACCGACAGATCCTGCTGCCGCTGCCGGCCCTGTCGCACTAGAGCTGATGCTGATCCCCGCACGAGCGAAGAGGCCGCGCACGGGAGCGCCTCCCGCAGTGCCGATGGCAGCGTTGCTTACTGTGATGATCAGGAAAGAAAAAACACAGAAACAATTGATCGTCGATTCCCCAGAAAATGTGGGAAAATAGGGGCAGTGGGGGGGAAGACAGAAACCCAGAACATATGGGAAAATATGGGGAATCCTTTTATTTGTGTGTATCCATTTGTGTGTCCCAGGGCCCCTCCAGATGAGTTTGGCCTAGGTGGACCGGCCAGCCTGTGGCGCTTGCCTGTCGTTTCCCGATGACGGCGGTGCGTGCTGCCACTGCCCTGCTCGCTCGAGCTGGCTCCCAGCTGTGTAAGCGACGACGGAGCCGGGTCGCGTTTGCACTCGCGCTACGGCAGCAGCGCCGCGTCCGTGGACGCGACTCTGCTCGCCAGGCGTGGGTGGGGTGGGGTGGGGGGTGGGGCAGGGTGAGGAATGGATTTGGATTGCGCATCTGCGTAGGCTCAAGGCTCAAGGATCAAGGGCCTGTCAGATTAGATGGCGCTGCAACTGGACGGCACTGCAGTATGATTAGCGTACTGCCAGCACTGGCGCCAGGGATGAGCATCCGGCTCTGCTGCATCCGAAAGTAAAACGGCAGCCAGCCGCCATCGCTGATCGGCCCAGAGTGTGCGACAGCAAGGTGTAGCCAGAGTGGGAGAAAGGGCATCTCCTGTCCTTGCAGCTCTTGGCGGTTCGGGGTGGCGCTCGGGGCGAGGGAGGAGGGGAAGGGAGCCCGGGGAGGAGGCTCTCGGCGGCTTCGCGCGCGCCGGGTCCTCGAGGTCGGCCCTCGGGCGCTACACCATCTTGGAGCCTGGCGCTCGCAGCGTCCGGGCGTGCCCCGCGTAGGGAGGGCCGCTTGGGCGCAGAGTGGCCGAGTGGAGTGGGGTGGACGGGGAGCGGAGGCGGGACGGACCGAGGCCTCTACCCCACGATGAGGAGGCTGACGAGCGGCGGCAAGGCGCAGCCGCTCCTGAGGGAGCAGGTCCGCGCCCCGCTGCCCTGTGCACCCTCTTCCCCGCTCCTCTCCGCGCCAAGTCCTCGTCCCCTCTCGGTGGCCGATGCTTTCGTCCGGGGGTGCTGGCTCAGCCGAGCGGCTTGCCGCGAGGGGTCGCGCCAGGCACGGTGCCGGAAGAGTGTCCCGCGCCCCTTCTCCGTGGGTCTGCGCTGGCACTCCCGAGCCCACGCCGACCTGTGTTGCCGCGCGATGTTCCGCAGTGCCCCCTCCGTCCCCCGTCGTGCCTCACTGCTGCTAAGGGCAACATCACACAGATGTCCTTCAGGCTTTGTGTTCTACAGGCTTTTGTGTAACTCTGGAGTATTTGTTTCTTCGGTATTCGAGGCCTTCGAGACCGTTCGAGAGGCCCCCAAATCGTGTCAAAATCCACTTCTAGTGCGTACAGAAAATCGAAGAGAGCCTCGAGACGGCCCAACAGGGCCCCGAGATGTCCCGACGCGAGCGCTATGGCAGCCCCAGGTGGCCCCGCGACGCCTCCCAAAGCGCTCCAGACCGTGGCCCGGTCGTTGAGGGAGACCGTGGTTGGCAGCAAGGTGGCCCCAAGAAGCCCCCAGAGGCTCCCAAAACGCACCCAGGAGGCTCCCAGAGGCCCCAAGAAGCCTCCGACAAGATTTCGTGAGGCCCCCCAACCACGACGGGCTCCAAGAAGGAGACTCCGTAACGAAAAACTGGAAAAGAAGACGGAAGGATTCACAGGGAAAGGCAATAACGAGAAGTGTAATACACATACCTAACACTTGAGAAGTAAGAACACGAGGGCAACGACGAGAGCGGAACGGGAGCAAGGAGTTGTTTGTTTTGTTACTTCTCTCTCACACTCTCTCTTTGTTTGTTCTCTTTCTTTGCATTTCTCTCTCTCTCTCTCCCCCTCTCTATTTCAGTATAGTTATCCTTCTTCCTGTCTGCGAAGCTTGAAGGGGCAAGGGCCGAGGAGAATGCCGAGAAGCGCCATTGCAGTCTTGCGTGTGTATACACATATATATATATACAGAGAGAGAGAGGGGACAACAAACGCATGTGCCAGGTTACCAGGGCTCCGGGCCCCAGGCCTGGAGACCTTCCCAGAGCTCACCCCCCTTCTCTTTTTGCCCCTCTCCCCCCCCCCACCGGGGGGCCTCCAGGGCCTCCCCACGGCCGCCCAAACACACAGATCAGCGACGAGAGCGGCGTAAAATGACCCAAGACGCCCCGAGATGGCTTCCAGACGCCCGAAGGGCTTCCTAGAGGCCCCCAATACGCCCCAAGGAGGCTCCAACATGCTCCCCAAGAGGGCCCCGGATGGCCAACATTTCCCCTTTCCGTTCAGAAGACGTATATTTTCAGCATCTTCGCTTCTTATGTCGTGGCAGCTTCCACGACGGCCCAAGATGCACCCACGATCACCCCAAGACGGACCAAGAGGCCCCTAAGAGAGCCCCAGGACGGTCCAAGAGAGCCCCAAGACGGTCCAAGGGTCGCCCAATCAGCCCGAGATGGCCCCAAAAGGGGCCCAAGAGGGGAAATTTTAACGCCGTAGCCATGTTGGCTCGAGCTGGTCTGGCTCAGAGCTTCTCTGGCCATCTCTTTGCCTTCCTTTCCTTCGGCGACATCGTGGTGCGTCTGCCGCACCGCCATGGGGCTGTGCCAGTCGTGCACGGCGCAGAGCGATTAGGCCACCCCGAAAGAGAGGGCTATCTACGCGGGCCCCAGTGTCTGGATCACGTCCAACGGCTTTGAGACCGAAACGCAGTGGGTGCACTGCATTCAGCAGATGTTGAAGCGCAAATGTGTCCTTGCACCCGAGGACGAGTCCGCCTCCGTCACCCGCCAGGCGCTGGTCACGAAGTACGCTGACACGATCAAGACGCTCAAGATGACGTACATCAACGATACCAGCTTCCACCGCCCTGTGCACATGATGGCGGCGGGCAGGGACCGGACGAACCCAAAGCATTGGTTTTGATGGGACAATGGTATGGAGGACATGATGGGTCTTCCAAGGGAGAACATCACCATGATTCAGATCCTGGAAAAGCCATGGCTGTTCAATAGGGCAGGCCGCCTTGCGAACGACGACAAGTCGGAGCCCAACGTGTCCGAGCTCGACCCCGCAGACGAGAAGAAGTACTTCGCGGCTCTTCAGCTCACGCAGGACGCCTACGCTGCGCTGAAGGAGAGGCCGCCGCAAGTTGGCACCGGCCAGGCCGGCAAGAAGCTGCGCGGCTGCCCGGCCTCCAGACTCAACTGCGCCGACGCGCTCGCCGAGGTCTCGGCCGCGCTCAAGGAGAAGTACACAGAAGCGTTGGACAGGTGGTGCACCGAGTATATCGACGGTGCCGATTTCATCTGCGGATAGGGGGGCGAGGTGGTATTGCTCAAGATGGCCTGGCAGTGCAACCAGGATTTCGCTGGGCGGCTCGTGGACGCCGTCGAGAGCAACAAGGCGGTGTACCTCGGCCTCAGCGCCAGCAGCATGGTGGCCGCGAAGTCCATGGAGATGACTGGGGAGATCGAGCTGGGCTGGATCGAGGCTTTCGCTGCCCATCCGAAGCACCTGAGCCGCAAGCACTTCGACAAGAACGACCTCGACGGCGACGGGACCGTGCTCAACGTGCTCGGTGCCCTGCCGCTCTTCAAGTCGCCCCTGGCCATGCGGCCGCACTACTCGAAGGCGTGGATGGCGGAGGTCCTGAAGAAAACCTTGAGGCGGAGTGCGAGCAGGAGGCTGGCACAGAGATCGACGACGGGGTCGTGGCGAAGTCCATCGACGGCGTCGAGGCGGCGCTGAAGCTGCTGAACCACATCTCTTCAGCGGGCAACGATCAGGACAACCCCGTCTTCGTTTCCCTGAGGAGTGGCCGAGCCTTCGAGGTCAACATCTATGCGAACCCGCACAGGGAGGTGTTCTCCGTGAGGAACCGAGGCTTCTTTTCCTTGGTGCCAGGTATCGCATCTTTGTCTTCCCATGGGGGCGCTTTGACAGGACGATCTTCGACTCTCAAATGTGTGACATTATGCCGGCTATCAGTGCGAAGCGTGGATGCAGTTGCTTTCATGAGCGAGGCACCGATGATTTCGTGTTTTCCTTAGTGACCGATTGTATTCCACAGTGAACTGCATTTCTCCATGAGCACAGACTTTTATTCGAGGGTAGATTTTGGATTCAATGCGATCCGTCTTTAGTGGATTGTGTCGCTGAGGCACACAATGAGGTGCCCAGTGTCTTCCACACAATTCAGGCGCTGCGTTTGTGGGTGTACTTGGGTTTGGGTCACACCTACCCTCCGACTCAGATGCGGACGGGTGTGTGTATGTATATATATATATATATATATGCGTGCGCGTACGTTGATATGACAAAGCGTACACGCGCCAGAACCTAAGCGCGCGCGAAGCGCGCGACGACCCCTCCATCCCAAGAGGTCCCAAGGCAAACCGCACACGCACCCTGGCCCTAAGCCTGAGGTCCCCTAAGTGAATCAAGGGGCCTCCATGACCTCTCCCGAGCCGCTCAAAACAGCTCCAGGGGACTGAGCGACCAGAGCGGCCCAATGGGGCAGTGGGGCAGCTCGAGCGCTTGCAAGGCGGCTCAGGACTATCTAGCGAGCCCCCCTGACTGGCCCAGGGGCCTGGGAGCACAACGTCAGCAATGCTTCATTGGTTCTTCTAGGACTTTCGCACATCTGCTTGTCCGCTCTGGGCGCCCACGACGGGCCAAGAGGCCCCCAAGCTCGCCCCTAGACGGCCGACAAGAGGCCCGAGGGGGCCCGCGCTGGCCTGAGGGGGACCCGAGGCGGCTCAAGACGGCCCCACGAGGGCCCCCCGAGTGGCTCAAGACGGCCCAAGAGTGCCCCAGACGGGCGCAAGACGTCCCAGGGGATCCAGAAGGACCCCAAGACGGTCCAATATGGATTCAGCGGTTTCCGTTCATTGACATTCAGGAGCTCGCTCGAGTCCTCCCTCCATCATACCGTCCATACTTTCCGTGCCATTGCTTCTGATTGTTCGGCAGCGGGGAGCCTTCAGCGGGTCACTCGGTATGCCGCTCGCGCGCGGGCGTGTCAGGCTGCTGAACCGACTTGCAGATGAGCTCCGCTTGCGGGCATCATCGCCTCTGCTTGCCAAGACCGTTCTGCCCTCGAACCGACCGGAAGGGGTCGACGAGATTAGCAGGTGGCACCCGCCTGGTGTCAGGGCAGCGAGTTCCGCTCGTCAAAATCAGGAGCAGGTTGCTCGTGTCCTTCCTCCATTCTACTTTCCAGGCTCTCCTTGCCAATGCTTTTGATTGTTCTGCGACGGGGAGTTTTCAGCATGGGTCACTCGGTCTGCCGCTCGCGCACGCGCGTGTCAGGCTGCTGGGCCGACTTGCAGGTGACCTCCGCCTGCAAACAGCAACGCCTGTGCTGACCAGGACTTTTTTGCTCTCGGACGGGCCTCAATGGGCCGAAGGGATGTGCAGGTGATGCCCGCGTGCAGTCAGCGCAGCGATCTCTGATCACTACAGCTCAGGAGCTGGTTTTTCGTGTCGTCCCAACATCCTACTGTCCAGAATTCCGTAGCCATTTTGGTTCAAGCGCCCGCCAGGCCCCTGTCGGCCAGCACCTCTCAGCCGCAGGATGGTCGCTACGGGTGACCTACACACCGTCCTGCTGAGGAGCGACGGGACGGCCGCGGCCTGCGGCTGCAACGACGACGGGCAGTGCGACGTCCCCGCGCTCGGCGAGGGTCTGACCTACACGCAGGTCGCTGCGGGTCGCGCGCACACCGTCCTGCTGAGGAGCGACGGGACGGCCGCGGCCTGCGGCCGCAATGTCCACGGGCCTTGCGACGTCCCCGCGCTCGGCGAGGGCCTGACCTACACGCAGGTCGCTGCGGGTCGCGCGCACACCGTCCTGCTGAGGAGCGACGGGACGGCCGCGGCCTGCGGCTGCAACGACGACGGGCAGTGCGACGTCCCCGCGCTCGGCGAGGGCCTGACCTACACGCAGGTCGCTGCGGGTCGCGCGCACACCGTCCTGCTGAGGAGCGACGGGACGGCCGCGGCCTGCGGCTGGTCGGGCAGTGCGACGTCCCCGCGCTCGGCGAGGGCCTGACCTACACGCAGGTCGCTGCGGGTGCACCGTCCTGCTGAGGAGCGACGGGACGGCCGCGGCCTGCGGCTGGAATCACTTCGGGCAGTGCGACGTCCCCGCGCTCGGCGAGGGCCTGACCTACACGCAGGTCGCTGCGGGTCGCGCGCACACCGTCCTGCTGAGGAGCGACGGGACGGCCGCGGCCTGCGGCTGGAATCACGTCGGGCAGTGCGACGTCCCCGCGCTCGGCGAGGGCCTGACCTACACGCAGGTCGCTGCGGGTGTCCTGGTCCTGCTGAGGAGCGACGGGACGGCCGCGGCCTGCGGCCACAACGACGACGGGCAGTGTGACGTCCCCGCGCTCGGCGAGGGCCTGACCTACACGCAGGTCGCTGCGGGTGACGAGCGCACTATCCTGCTGAGGAGCGACGGGACGGCCGCGGCCTGCGGCTGCAATGTCCACGGGCCTTGCGACGTCCCCGCGCTCGGCGAGGGCCTGAGCTACACGCAGCAGCAAGCGCTGCCAACGCTGCTCCTGCAGGCGTCTTTTGACGGAGCCTCGGTGCAGTTCCTGACCCTTGGCGGGCAGGAGTTCGACCAAGTCCAGGCGGCTCCCACCGATCGCCTGTCGGACGTGCGCGCCCGACTGATGTCTGGCCGCGTCTCGCGCACGCTGGGGTTCTCCGCCATCGACGCCGTCCTGCCGGATGGCAGGCTGCTGAGCCGGGCCCCCAGAGGAGAGAGCTGCGCGGCAGCGTTCGGGCGCGCCGACGACGGCGGGCCCGGGCGCGAGGGGCAGAAGATGTTGACGGAGTGAGCGCCTTTGCAGCCCTCTTCACCCGCCCCTCCCTCTCTTTCTCCGCCGCTCCTCCCTTCTTCCCTCCTCTTCGTTCTTCCCTCCTCAGCGATCTCGACTGATCGTCGCGGGTGCGCGGCCACCCGCTAGGCTCGAGCGTGTCACTAGGTAAACTCATCTGGGCATCCCGCCGCAGGCTCTGCGGCGTTGCCGTCCCAGGAAGCCTTATGAGCCATGCAGGTTGAAGCGTATCGGAGAAACAAAAGCATCCTACTTTCCAGACTCCCCTTGCCATTACTTTTGAATGTTCTGCGACCGGGAGTCTTCAGCGGGTCAATCGGTATGCCATTCGTGCACCAGCGTGTCAAGCTGCTGGGCGGACTTGCAGGTGGCCTCCGCCTGCAGACGACATCGCCTTTGCTGACCGTTTTGCTCTCGGACGGGCCTCAATGGGCCGAAGAGAGCGCTCCAGGGCCGCGTGAGCCGCAGAGACCAAGGATTACCGCGCCAAACAGAGCCCCAAGACCGTAGCAGGCATTCAACAAGCTCCTTCATCAGGCCGTCGAGATGGCCCCAAGATTGCAGTGGCGGAATTTGCCGTAAGCAGCAGCGAGGGAAGGAGGGTTTCGGAGACACGGCGGGAGGGATGGTGGATCGAAGGAAGGGAAGAAAGAGACGGAACGGGAGGAGCAAGAAGGAGTGGAGAGGGAATGGAAGGATTTGACGGTATGAGAATGCAGGATAAGCGGCGTTGCATTCATCACGTTTCATACGTGGGGGCAAGCAGGGGGTACAATTTTCGCTTACTGTTCGAACGCTGTGCTGTTCATGACGCGCGTGGGGTTCGCACTCGTCCATCCGATGCTGCACACTATAGGATATAGCCACAGTTTGCTAAAACCTGAATGCGCGCGAAGCGCGCGCGTGGTTCTAGGAGATAGTATGTGTATATATGTGTACACACATAGAGACATTTGTTCGGGGCTCCCTCTTGGAGTCCCCCCTCCACTGGCGTTTCTGGGTCGCTTCCACGCTCTCGCTTCCTCCCCTGCTGTCTCCTTGACACGCCCTGCCACTTTCCTGTCGCTCCTGCACTTCCCTTCTCAATCCTGATGCCTGCAGCTTTCTCCCGGTCTCCCCGAGCTTTATCCGTCCTTCGTTGCTCTCCGCTCTTCCCTTGTCCTTCCTCGATCACTCCCTAGAGAGCTCCTGGTAGTGGATACGTTGCTGACGTTCTTGTTCCTGCGATGATGCTTCTGGCGCTGTATCCGCCCCTTGCACTGGCACGGCTTGCTGTTCGCAAGGCGCCCCTGGCATCTCCGAGCCCACAGCACGTTCCCTGTGCGATGTGTGCCGCTGTCCTGCTTGGCTGGGATTGTTCTCCAGAGAGTCGTCGCTACACGCCCGCCATTCCCTCTCCTCCCTCTCCTCTCCTTCCTTCCCCCGCCGCCCCTCTCCTCCCTCCCTCCCTCCCTCGAGGATGAACGCCCCAAGACTGGAGCTCCCTTTTATGGTTTTGTTCCGAGTCTGCGAGGCGGGCCCCTCTGGGCCGGGACTCTGTGCCCTGCATCTCTGTACCCTCCCTCTCGTTCCCGCCCTTCTCCCCGTTCGCAGCCGAGAGAGCAGGGCCACTTGCGCTCCTCCCATGGGGGCCTAGGTGGTCCCAGAGTTCGTTGCTGTTTTGCCGACGTCGTCCAGATTTCGGCGGACTTGGTCGACGCCTGGTCGACGTCTGGACGAGGTCTGGACGAAGTCTGGACGATATCTGGACGACACCTGGACGACAGGGTGACAAGGGGTGGTCGAAACCTGGACGACGTCGGTTCGAAATCTCGTCTACGATGGGGCCGCGGAGGTCCACATGAGGCTCCCGCGAGGGCTCGCCCACGGGCCGGCCCTGCCGCCATTGCCGACGCCCTCGCCGCCGCTCCCGCGACGCCCTGCGCGCTCAGAGCGCTCCGCCCTGCTCCCCCCTTCACCACCCACCAAACGACCCCAACCCAACCCGAAGGCCCCAATTTGCCCTCCATTTCCAGTTGGGGGGGGGGTCGGGGAACACTGACAAAACCACACATGGAACCCGTACCCCCCCCAACCCGAAATCGGGGTCCTCGGGCTGGGTTGGGGTGGTCTGGCAGGTAGTCACCCCTGGGCCCTCCCACATCCGACGTCTCTCGACTTTTCGGTGCGGGGCCCCAGGCGTCTCGCGAGGGACCGGCTCTCCGTCACGCGTCGTCTCTGGCGGCTGACGGTCCCGGGGCTCAGCGAGGGCCTCCAGAGGACGCAGGCGGTGAAACGCCTCCGCTTTTGTTTTGTTCTCTCTCGAAGCGTCGGATGTTTGGGCCCTGCTCCCCTCCATCTCTTGGGAGTTCAGATTCAGCATCGGCGATGGTATCTCCGTGGTAGAAAGGGGGACTAGTCTGGCACGATCCTCTTGAATCAGGTTTAATCTGGCCTTATTTGGCACCCTCTTTGGCTTACTCCAGCCTAAAGTTGCTCCTGAAAGCCTTCAATCGTTTTGCTGAAGACTTCCAAGAGTTGCCTCCTACTATTGTAACTGTTCCTTTACCCTACCGCTCACTGCCTGGCGAGGTCGCCGCTGGCGCAAGCACGGGCGCCGTGGCGTCGCTGCTCTTCTCGCCGGTGGAGCTGGTGCGTTTGCGCCTGGTCACGGAGGCTGATGACAGTGATAACTAGTGTTGATGAGGATGATGATGCTGACGATGCATGTCTTCGAAACGTGGTCTGTGAACGGAGATCGCCTCAGCCACTATGCAATGACGGCGATACTGCTGCTGCTGCAGACTATGATGGTAATAACGACGACGATGACGATGACGATGACGATGACGATGACGATGACGATGACGATGATGATGATGATGATGATGATGATGATGATGATGATGCTGGTGATGATGATGATGATGATCATGCTGGTGATGGTAATGCTGATGAATATGAGTATGATGATTATGGTGCTGATGATGAGGATTCTGATGGTGGTGATGCTGATGCTAATGCGGATGCTGATGCTGATGCTGCTGATGATTGTGATGATGATGATGGCGATGATGGCGATGAGGATGAGGGTGATTTTTGTGATGATGGTGATGTTGATGATTTCGATGATGATGTTGATGATGATGAAGGTGATGATGGTATTGGCGACGATGGTTATGACTGCTGATGCTGATCATGATGCTGCTGCTGGGGATAGTATAGTGATGATGTTGACAATGCTGATCAGGATGATGCTGATGCTGTTGATTATGGTGGTGGTGATGATGGTGCATGGCAATGGCGTTGGCGATGGGGTTGGTGATGGTGATGTCTTGGTTATGGCAATGCTGATGATGGGGGTGCTGCTGCTGATGATCATGATACTGCTTTAGGTTGACGATGATGAGTTGATGATGATTGTGATGCTGATGATGATGATGATGATGATGATGATGATGATGATGATGATGATGCTGTTACTGCTGCTAATGATGATTATGATGCAGATGATGCGTGTGCTGAGCTGGTGAGTAGGATGATGAGGAGGAGGTGGAAAATGAGGAGGAGAAGGAGGAGGAGGAGGAATGTTATGATTCTGATTCTAATGATGATGGTCATGCTGATGATGATGGTAATGATGCTGATGGTGATGATGCTGATGACGAGGATGATGCTGATGGTGATGAGGAGGATGAGGATGAGGGTAAGGATGATGACGGTAATGCTGATGAATCTGATTATGATGATGATCATGGTGATGCTGATCAGGATGCTGATGGTTGTGATGATGTTGCTGATGCTGATGCTGCTGTTGATGATGTTGATGATGATGGCGATGATGGCGATGAGGATGAGGATGATTGCTGTGATGATGGTGATGTTAGTAAGTTTGATGATGTTGATGGTGATGAGGAGGATGATTGTATTCATGCTGCTGCGGCTTGTGAGGGTGAGTATAGTGATGATGTTGACAATGTTCATGGGGATGGTGCTAATTCTATCGATTCTGGTGGTGGTGATCATGGTGCATGGCAATGGCGTTGGCGATGGCGTTGGCGACGGTGGTGTCTTGGCGATGGTAAGGCTGATGATGGGGTTGGTGCTGCTGATGATCATGCTACTGGTTATGTTGTTGTTGATGATGAGGAGTTGATGATGATGGTGGTGATGGTGTTGACGCTGCTGATGATGATGCTACTGCTGCTAATTATGATTAGGATGC